ATATACATAATATATATATATATATATATATATATATACATAATATATATATAAATACACATATATACGATGCATGTCAGGTGAATGTATGTGTGTTATGTGTGTGTGTGTGAGTGTATGTGTGTGCGTGTGTGTGTGTGTGTGTAGAAAAAATCAGTCTAATGTATTAAGGCAACGTGAGAGCTTTGCATATTCATATTCATTCAACATACTATGTATAACACGCTCAATATATCAATATAGTTTTATATATACATACATATATAGTTATTACATATATATATATATACATATATAAACGCAACTTTCATTCATTGAACTTTTTTGTCTCTAGACTTTTTTCGTAATTCATTTAGATTTATAACTATATATATATATGCATGTGTATATATATACATATATATGTTGTTGTTTTAGTTGAATACTTGTACAATAATATATTTATTTAAATATGCATATCGGTTTTTCATATTTCCTTTTTTACAAAATTTTGGTATGTTTCGTTATTTTTTTTTTTTTTTTACTTAACAATTTTTGTATTGGCTAGATAAGCAATTGATATAGTTTAAAAATTAGTTAAGAGTAAAAATATTAAAAAAAAAAAAATAGAAAACAAAAACACATTTTTTTTTTTTTTTAGTAAAATTAATGAAAAGCATTTTGGTTGAGTTTGTTTTGTTTCCTCGTACATTTTACAATATTTTAATATATAATTAATTTTATATAAATTTTTCCCCATTTTAATACTAACGCAAAAAGTGTAATTTTTGTTAAATAATATATATATATATATATATATTTCACGATATACATATGAAGGTATTATATAGTTAATATACATATGGTAAACTTTCGCTATATATATATATATATTTGTATATGTATATAATTCTGTTAATAGTTCTTTTTTTTTTAGTTTTATAGTTTAGTCTACAATTGTGAGTGAAAAATCTAACGTTTTCTGAGTTTACTTTTCTCTTATCGTTTCATTCCTTTCTGCTATATACAAGCATAAGTTTAACAAATTTCTATATAGCGTATATGGTGTATATAGTATATAGTATATATCATATATATAGTTTTTTATAGTAGATATATATACATATATAAATGTATATATATATATGTTTATATGTTATTTACATTTATCCATTTTGCAGTCATTCGTTATTTTTCTCTTGGGTTTTTTAAAGTTTAGTTTGATAACATTTTGGAAGTATTTTTGCTTTGTTGTTTGTTTCATTTGTTTCCTCTTGAATTTGTTCTTGTTCTTTATATGATATTTGCACACACATGCACATGCACAGTGCATGTATGTGTGTGTGTTGTTGTTGCTGTCACTGTCTGTTTGCGCTTTAGACTTTTCACTGGCCTAGTGCTGCTCAGCCTCTACCGAATCCCCCTCCTGCCGGGCTCTGCTGCTGCTCCCAGGCCACTTGCAGCAAGCTGCTTCGTTGTATATCTCTGCCTATTCTTCTTCTTTTCCTCCTCACATTCTCTTCCTTTTCTACGAATATGAACTGCTGTTCGCTGACAAAGTGCTGCCTCCGACCCTTCGCCTCCCACCTACATACCTACAACTCTTGTTTAGCATGCAACGCCGTAATTGCCGTCTTCTTCCTCTTCTCCGTGTTCTGCTTGCAGCTGTTCGCTGACCATGTGTGTCTGTGCCTTGGGCTCATCTTTATCTGACTCAGCTTGCTGCTCCTCTCCAGCTGGCTGCTCTGCCATCTCGTCCTGCTTCTCCTCCTGCTCTCGCGGCACCTCCTCATGCTGCTCTGGTTGCTGCTCCTGTTTCTCCGCTGGCTCTTCCTCCGCTGGCGGTGTTGGCGTCGTTACTGAGCCAGTGCTCATAGGCGTCGGCGTTCCACTCACCTCCAGCGACAGCTCCTCATCGTTGGATGGGGGCGTCTCTATCGTAATGGGATGCAGCGCTTGTTCGGCAGCCAAGGCGTTCGCCTCGTCCTCCAGCTTCTGCAAATGCTTGCGCAACTCCTCTTCCTGCTGCTCCTCAAGCAGTTGCTGCTTGGCCATGCGACTCTCCTCCAGCTGACGCATCAGATCCGGCGGCAGCTCACCCGTATAATCGATGGCAGCAAACGGCTCTGTCGTGTCTATATTGATCGCCTGCTTCTTCTTATCAGCAATCAGTTTCCACATGTTGAGCAGCGTATTGAAATTAACACCAGGTGGTAGCGTCAAGGCATCTCCACCAGCACCAGATGCAGCTATAGCTGCGGCTGCAGCCGATGATGTAGCCGCAGATCCACTTGCCGCTCCAGGGCCATTGTCCACCATAATCTCATCCTCGTCCTCGCTGCTGCTGCTGCTCACAGCTCGAATTTGTGGCTTGTGCTGAGGCCTGCTGGACGAGGACGCCGACGTGGTTGTCGCTGTCGTCTGCCTGGCCAGCATCACCTGCCTTGAGTACTCATTGAAGTCCAGTTGGACGGAACTGCGCCTGGAGGTGGCCACCTCCTCAGTGCTGCTGCCCAAGATTTGGTTATATTCGCGCAAGCCCAACTCCTCCACGGGCACGTAGTGCTCCCCGATCTCGATCAGATAGACACAGCGATTGACGTGGGAGCGAAACAGTTCCTCCTTGTGATTGGGCACCCACACGTGCACCACATGACCCACCATGCCAGTGCTCGGCTCCCAGTCCTTCCAGCTAAGACGACCGCCATTTGCGCGCATATGATCGGTGGGCCACACGACGGCGTCTATAATATCCAGGCAGTCATAGATCTATCGGAGGGAAGACAGAGAATTAGCTATGGAACAAGTTCACATTCGAGTTGATTTCCCAGCTCTGGGATTCACTTTTGTTGGTCATGGCCCTCCTCACTCACCCCCGAATCGTCCACAATTATGACCTTTCTGTAGATCTCGATGCGCGGCTTGCGCGGCGTCAGCTGCGCTGCTGCAGCGGCGGAAGTCGCAGCCACGGCGGTGCCGGCGCTCGTGCTGGCTGATGAGGATTCATTGGTCATGAGGCAAATGGGTCCCTTGGTCTTGCGTGGATAGTCGCCGGGCGTGGTTATGATGTTGGCCACACCCATGCCGACGCCCAAGCTGCCCGTCGAGGAGGAGGACAGCTTGTTGGAGCGCGGACTAATCTCCTGTTCGCTGAGCTCCAAGTGCGTTGCATGTGCTGGCGGCAGCGCCTCGACGTCCACGGCAGCGCCGCTGGCAATGGGCAGCGTGGCGCGACGGGCGCTGCTCTGCAGGGTGATGCCACTGCGGGTGCGTTGCCCACTCACGCCGGGGGCGCTGCTGCTGCTGCTGCTGGCGCGCAGCGTGGAGCCGGGCGCCGATGTGGAGGCCGTGCCATCCAGCTCCCGTTCACGATTCAGCAGTCCAGCGATGAGCGTGGTCGACGTTGGCTTCACAGGCATCACGGCCAGGCCGCCGCGCACCACGGCCAGAGTGTCGCCCACATAGCTGCCAGGCAAGCCGGACACATTGCCGGGCCGTACGCCGTAGTAGCTATTCACGGTCAGCGTATTGTACAACGGAGCTGAGATGAAGACGGGAGCCAGGTCTGAGGAGTCGCCGCCTGTGCTGCTGGCAGTGCCGGGTGCGCTGGCTGTCGCGATCGTACCTCCAGTACCAGTTCCGACTCCTGCTGGTGGGCCACCTACCGTGCCTGGTCCTGTTCCTGTTCCTGCTCCCAGCCCACCGCCTGCCCCTGGCCCTGCTCCCGCTCCGGCACTCGCCGATCCAGCAGTGGAGCCAACGACACTGCCGCCGCTGCCAAAATTACAATTGCCCAGCTGTTGCATAGACGCCTCCATGGCCGATCCCGAGCTGCAGCCCTGGCGGCAGCGTTCCCGTATGCGATGCCACCAATCGAGCACCGTCTGCCGGATCGTGTCCAAGGTGATGGCGCCGCCAATCACCTGGCACAGCTGTCCATTGGTGTCCGCATATGAAGTGGTCAGTGGCGAAACGTAGATGGGATAGCCGATGGGCTGATCACAGCTGGAGTTGATAATGTTCCTCAGCGCCTGCTTGGCGTTCTGTATGCTGCCTCGCTCCGGATTGCGATTCCTCAGATAGATCAGCTCCTGCTGTTGTCCGGCCCAAAGGCCACGCACGCATTCCCGGTTCAGTTTGATGACCCGAAAGCTGAGGAATCGCTTCGTCAGCCTTATGATGCGATACTCATCGGAGCCGTCCTCCATGACATGGCGCAGCGCCAGCAGATTGGGTGCACCACGCAGCACAGCGCTGCGCCACTGCGGGTCTGCCTCGTGCGAGATGACCAGCTCCTTGGAGCAGCTGTCGATGGCCTCGTACAAGGCTAGCGGATCGAGGAACTCATCGGGATTCGTAATGTGATCCTGCTGCAGTTTCAGGGCCATTTTGACGGCGGGCGCCACCACCGAGTGGAGCAGCTCCATGTCGGCAAAGACCCATTCGTCCCGCGGCGAGGTGATGCGGAAGTCGCCCTTGAAGAGGGCGTGCAGCCCGTGCAGAAAGAACTCCACGCCCGTCAGCGAGCTGTGCGAGGCCGTGGCCAGGGAGCGGCGAGCCAGCAGGCCCAGCGCCAAGCAAAGCGACACCAGTGGCGCGTCCTTCGAGACGCTGGGCGCCTTCAGCTTGATGGTGGGTCGCTTCGGCGGTATCGGCGGCGCTGTGCTAGGCAATATCGTGGTCAGGTTGCCATCCTGCTGCGCCAGGGCTGCAGCAGCTGCAGCGGCGGCTCCGACGGGCTGCTGCAGCCGGGGCGAGTCCTTCTTGCCCGGCGTCGTCTTGGCCAGCTTCACAAACACATTCTGATCCATGTAGGCGACGTAGCCACTCAGCCCGGGCGCACTCTCCGACGTCTGCCGCGAGATGTTCGCGAAGCTGTGCGAGCTGCTCAGCTGATCGAGGCCGGCGAGCACGTCCCGGCTCTCCTGGACCACGCCCGGCGTCGCGCTCATCGTGGCGCTCTTCTGCGGCCGCACGCTGCGCAGCTGCTGCTGCGACTGAGACTTCGATTGGGGTGTGCTCGAGGCGTTGTGCGCGGACAGATTCGGCGTGCTCTTCGAATCGTTGTGGGCGGGCGTGTTGCTCGCTGACACCTGGCTGCTGGCCAGCTGCTCAATGGGCACAGCAGCCGGGGCAGCCGGAACGGTTGTCGCAATCGAGCCGCTGGCCGAGGCAGGCGCCAGCACAGCCGCTGAAGCTGGAGCCGACGCTGAAACCGAGGCAGAAGTGACGGGTGTGGCAGCTGTGGCAGCTGTGGCCGCACCTGTGGGAGCTGTTGAGATAACGGTTGGAGCTGCGGCGGCAGCTGGCGGCTCCTTGGCAGTGTGCACCTCCTTGCGCTTGTCCACGCAATAGTTGATCCACTTCAGGTACACGTAACAGAAGCTGGAGCGGGTTATGCCCACGGCGCGAAAATCAAAGTCCTCATCCAAGTTGAAATTGAATATGGGATCGAGATCGACGAACTGACGGCTCAGCGTGTGCTGCAGTGCATCCTGGATGGGTCCAGCCGCAAGCCATTGCTCCAGCTTCGGATTGCGTACCACATAGTAGATGATGCTCTGCGGGAGATGAAGAATGGGTCATGTTCATCAAATGAAGTAGGAATAAAATGAACATTAGGGGAACTAGTTCATCACATACAAAATGAAGTAGCCTGAGCCTGAATAAAATGAACTAGTTCATCAGAAATCGAATGGAATGTGTTAAGCAAGCTCATGGCTAATAAAAAATCAAATAATATTGTTGATCTTTGAACTATTAACTAAGAAACAAGTTCATTTAGAATAACAAGGACAATTGAAATGAACTAGTTCATCGAATGTCAGCAAATTCAACTTCATCTAAAGGAAAACTAAGAAGAAGTGAATTTACTTCAAGAGGGTACAAACTACTTCAAGCAGAGCGAACTTATGGTGCCGTGAACTAGTTCAATACACACCTTGATGTAGTAGGTGATGAGAACCTTGCGATACTCGAACACCTGCAAGGTGGCGCTGGCCAGATTGTCGGAGATGGAGTAGCCCTCGATGACATATTGGGCGGCGACCACCTGCCAGGCGAGCCAGCGCGTCGAGAACATTGCGTTCGTGCTGAGCAGGCGCGGCAAATGGCCTGGATCGCAGCAGCAGCAGCCGTCATTGTCCTCCACGTCCTCGGTGATGGCCTCCACCTCGCGCTGCTGGCAATAGGTGCCGCGGAACTCCAAGCCGCGCATCTGGAAGGTGCACAGCCCGTTGCCCAGCTCAATGATGTGCACCAAGCAGTTCAGGTCATCCGAGGCGAGCACTGCAAGAGGCAAATCGGACATCAGTCTCTGGGTAAGGAATTCAAGCTTCCGATGGACTTACCAAAGCAATCGCCCTGGTTGACATTGCCCCAGCGACCCATGAGAAGATCCCCGCAGAGCGAATGCTGCAGGGATCGCGTCAGGTGCTCGTAGAAGATGCTATTCAGATTGTTGTCATCGGCGCCCAGATCTCGCTCCAGCTGCGAGCTGAGCCGTGTGTTCGAGTGATCGATGCGCCGCGTGTTGTAGTCCCGCTCCCAGAACTTCACCGGACGCACGTACGAGGTGAGGAAAATGGCGCTGCCCAGAAATGGATTCAGCGGCGTCGATAGCAGCGCCGAGATGCCCGCCTGCAGGAACAGCATCGCCGAATGGGGCACACTGAAGGGCTGAGCGAACGCATGGAACGCCGATCCCCACGTTATCTGCCAGGGAGCGATGTACGTAACGATGAACTGCAACTGCAATGGGAGACGAAATGGAGCGATTAACTAAAAGAAAGGCATTCACTAGGAACCGGTTCAGTTCACTGATTCACTGAACTAATTGGCATTAGGCAAGCTATCAATTTATGTCGAGCTGCTGTTCATGAGCTACTGGTTCAATTGAACCAATGAGCTTTCAAATCATGTAACTATCTGTAGAGAATGTTCATTATCAATTTTATAGTATTTCTATGGGAATAGATCATATAGTTCACCGACTCATAGATATACACACATTCATTCATATATATCAGAGCTTACCTTGAGCAAAAAGTCGCAGCACTTGCGAAACGCCAGCGATACGAAAAAGTAGTCGATGATGAAGCTCTCCGTTGCCATCGCGAAATCAATGCGAAAGAGCAGGACGGTGAATATGACGATCAAATATTGATTGGTTGGATCCGAGTAAGAGTTACGCACAACTGCAAAATAGAAAGGAACGATGAGCAAGTGTTGACTAAGCAGCTGACAGCCGGCGAATCACAAGATGATAAAACCCATTCCCATTTATTCAGCTCTATTGTACTTTCAGTGCTTTAGTCGACCACATATAGTTCCTCATAGTACCTCAAAGAGCTCGGTAGCTACAAGAGCTACGGTTGAGAAATTTGTTATTTGAAGTCTCAGCAAGCAGAGTTGGAAGATTGGTTAAATAGCTCCTCAAGAACTACAAGAGGGCCAACAAATCGGGTAAGTAGAGCCTCAGCTACAAGATTAGGATATTGCCATATATAGCTATAGCTATAAGGATCAATAAGATGGGGAACTTTGGGAATTAGAGCTTTACAATTTTGGATACGAACTATCAGTAGGACTAATCAAAAGCGTCATCAATTGACCAAAGCGGAACTTACATTTGAGGGCACAAACGGCCACGATGAGCGTGCCCCATGGAACGCCAAACTTGTCCGCGATCGACTGGGCGTCCGCTGTCAGCGATGAGATGGCCAGCAGGGGAAAGAGCACGTTGCGCTCGAGGACACTCAAGTAGATGTAGAGCTTCTCGAACCACATGATCTGCGGGGCATTCAACACCTCGAACTGTCCGAATTCCTTCTGGCGGAGCAACGGGCGAGCAAAGCATAGCCAGGGCATATGCTTGCGCATCTGTGGCACCACGTAGTGGAGCAGCACGCCCAGGGTGCCGATGAACACATAGAGCACCACATTGAGATCCGGCTGGAGGACGGTGAACACTGTGCTGCAGTGCAGCACCAGGACTGAGACAGCCAGCAGAGTCATCACAACAAAGTCGTTCTTCAAGCGAGTCGTCACCGTGGCCTGAAGCTTGCGCGGCAACGGATCCGGCAGCTCGTTCTCCAGCTCACTGGCGTCCAGATCGAGCGCTGCTTGTTGATTGCTTAGCCCCGGCTCTGGGTCGAGGGCATCAGTGGCATCGATGTCCGTATTGGCTGTATTGGCGCCAGCTGTCAGAGTAGACATGTCCCCGGGATTGGTTGTCGACGAGCTAGAGATTTTGTCGTCTTGTGGATCCTCCGTTGGCGACTTGGTCTCAGTTACGGCTGCCGCATATAGATTCTCGGCGCTGCGCGTCGTTTTGACAGCAGCTGCTGCAACAGTTCCATTCGCGTTGGCGGCTGCGCCGGCTGCTCCTGCTCCACTCGCATCCTGGCCAGTTGCAATCGAGGCAAACGAGCTGGAGGCCGTTAGGCCACGCTTGTTGCTCTTGGCCAAGGTTTGGCTGCTGCCCAGAGAGGAGGCTTTCGATTTGCTGTGCAGCTGCTCCAGCTGCAGTTCCTGTTCCTGTTCCTGTTCTAGCTCCTGCTCCTGCTCCTGCTCTGGCAGCTGTTCGTGCTTCCCCAGCGAGCTCAGCTCAATGTTCTCATTGCTATTGGACCGCGAGTTGAGCTCCACCTGCCTGACGACTCGCTGTGCCACCGGCGTTGGTTGCGCCGTTGAGCTGGGCTCCGTCGATTGGCGTTTGCTCAGCTGCTGGCGATGCTGTTGCTGCTCCCGGTGCTCGTGCTCCCTTTGCTGGCTCAGCTGCCTGCGACCCTTGTACGAGTGCTGCCGGCACTCGTCCTCATCGTCGCGGTAGCTGCTCACAATGCACGTCTTGATGATGCGCCACAAGTGGCTAAAGTCGCTCGCCGACCTGGACATGTGATAGCCCAGAGGTATCAGCATGGCACAGAATATGGAGAACAGGATGTACTGGGTGCCGCGATGCTCATCCAGGGCAGCATACAAGGGACCATACAGCAGCAGGACAGCCAAAACGGAGCGCAGCAGGCAGAGGAAGGACCCTGCAACATAACGGAAATATATAGATTATATAAAAGCAAGCAACTGAGCTCTAGTCGCGAGTGCACGACTAGCAAATGCCCTAAGCCAAAAGCGATGATGGACAACTGGATAGGAGAAGAGGCATTCAAAAGGTGGACTAAGAATGAGAGAATGAACGTATTAGTATGCTCTCTCTCTCTCTCTCTATCCCTCTGTTATACTAGGCAGCTTGTCTCTATCTCGTATATGACGACAATCTCGTACGGACACTTATCGGAACAGTTATGGATGAATTGAACCTTGATCTCTGATACGCTCTAGGTGAACCTGTACTGCCTAGTGCTTGGCTGATACTCTACATGCTCATACAGATCTCTGGACTTGTACTGGATCTGCAACTAGTTCTGCTGCTCCTCTACATATGGAAACTGCTCCTCGCTCTTCACTCACCCAATAAGCTGCTCGCCGCATTCCCGCCAAAGACATGCATGTCGATCTGTTCGAGCAGGTACATAAGAAACGTGTTGAACTGCGGGCACAAGCCCACCGAGAACATGATGGGGAAGCAGAGGAGGAGGACGTAGAGGCACTGCAGCAGCATGGCAACCACGTGGTGCGGCGAATAGTGTATGCCAAAGAAAATGAACGTCTCCGGCGGCCTCTCTCCGTACGCCGTATCCAAATGCTTGAGCAGCAGCAGAAGACCGCCGCACAGACAGAAGTAAATGGCACGGGAGTACGCGACGATTTTGTTGAAGCCATGCACCGGCGACGCTGCATCCGGCTGGACGCTCTTCACCAGCGAGTATTGGGCGCCGGCTATGACCGAGCAGAAGAGCAGGACACACAGATCCTTGTAGTAGTTGTGCTGGAGTATCGCAGCGCCCAGGCACGCCACCAAGGTGCACAAGACACAGGCCAAGAGCACGTGCAGCCAATGCAGGTCGCGGTCGAACAGTGCCAGCAGCTCCAGGCGATCCATAGCAATCTTAAACTCATGCTCCCGCCCGCACCACTTGAAGCGATACTTGTAGAAGCTCTTGGGTGCCAGCGGCTTCTCGGCGGAGAGCAGGCAGGTAGCGGGACGCCAATAATCGCAGTAGGGCGAGAAAGGTCCATCCACGTGCAGCATTGGTTGGCTGAGCTGCTGCTGCTGTTGCTGTTGTTGCTGCTGCTGTTGCTGCTGCTGCTGTTGCTGTTGCTGCTGCTGCTGCTGACCTGATTGCTGACGAACTGCCGAGTCAGCAGCAGTCGCATTCCCGGCTGCTGCAGCCGCATCGTTGTGTTCTTGGCGAGCTGCTTGCATCATATTGAACATGCCTTGAAACGAGGAGCGTGCCGCACTTGCTGCCGAGCTGCCTCCAGCTGCAACTGCTCCTGTTCCTGCTCCTCCTCCTCCTCCTCCTCCTGTAGCTACTGCTGTCTCTCCGGCACCACCTCCAGCAGCTGTTGCTCCTGCTGCTCTGTTACCACTACCGCTCATCATCCGGCAACTAATTAACGAAGCTGGCGGCGCTGTCAGTCCATTCGCTGCGTTGTGCGCCTCAGCAGCCGCTGCCGCCGCTGCCAGCTGCTCGCACACTAGTTTCGCATCCATGGAGGCGGGGTAGCTGCCCTGTAGTGCCTGTATGGCGTCCTGATAGAACTGGAAATGCGCACTGGACATATTTGGTGGAACGATTGTGGGGTTCGCTGGCACTGTGGTGCCATCGGGCAGGATAGCGGCTATAGGTCGGCCACGCTCGTCCACTGGGCCGCCGTGCATCAGCCACAGCATCTTGTGTATATCAGCCGTGAGACTCTCCGTCAAGCTGATGCTGTGCGTCGAGTTCGAGGATGAGGAATTGCGTGAGCAAGCTGGCAGCATGGCCAGCTTCTGCTGTTGCTTGACCAAAGCCAATTCATTGCTACTGTCGCCGCCAGCAATGGCCCGCCGGCGACGCAGTTCATCCACTTCGCGGTACTTGGCCACCTTGGGTATGGCGCCGAGGCTGCGTGCAGCCATGCGTGAAGTGCAGGGCTGCTCCTCGTCAAGCTCGTGATCCAGATGCCGGTCGGGCTCGGGCTCCTGCAGCAACAGCTGGTCCTTGGAACTGGCGCTCACATGCTCGCAATCGCTGGACGGACAGCCAGAGTCGGCTTCGCTGCCTATCAACTGGCTGCGCATCTCCAAGGGCTGCTGTTGCTGCTGCTGCTGGAGCTTCTTTGGCTGGGTGAACTCTTGCCGCAACGCCTGCTCGGCCGCTTGCTCCCGTGCGCTGAGCTGTTGCTGTCGATTGCTGAGCAGAGGGGAACGCGAGCCCGTGTTGTTGTCTGTCTCCTCATCGTCCGATGGCAGAGCAACAACGTTTGCAACTGCTGATGCATTTGCAATGGTTGTAGCTGCTGCAGCAGCTGCGGCTCCTGCTCCTGCTCCTGATCCTGTTCCACATGCTCCTCCGCCATTCAGTTCACAGTTCTTGAGCACATCGTCCAGCTGGCTCTGCGTATGCTGCAATTCACTAAGTATGTGCTCCAGATTGTCATCGAAATCCTTGAAGACATCATCGTCGTCGTCGGCCAAAATGCCGCCGACATCGGACTCGGCACTGCGATGCGTTTGGCTGCAGCCCAGGGCGCGCGTGCGACGCCTCAGTGGCACATCATCCACTTCATCATCGTCAACATCCAGTTGATGATCGGTGTCGTCCTCATACACGTCCTCCTCCACGTCATCATCATCGTAGTCCACTTGCAGCTTTGGGTCATCGTTCATTTTCTCATCCAAATGCTCGACTATCGGATAGACAGGTGGTTCGATTAGAGCGGTGGTCGACCCGCAGGCGCTAGAGCTGCCAAAGATGACGCTGCTGCAGCTGCCAATGGCTCCAGGTCCGCCAGTTGCACTCTCTGCATAGTTCTGGTCTAGTCTTAGATTCAAATGTTGATTGCGCACGAGACTTTTGCTGGGCGGCGGCAATGGATTTCGCAACTGCTGCTGCCCACTGATCGCCTCCACGCTATTCGGATGCGGACTTAAATTCGAGACTGATGGCTGCGTGCAGAGAACCTCCAGGGCGGCGCTCTTAATGCGACGCACACCTCCACCGCCACCTTGACTGTTTGACGATGAATTCAACAATGTAGTCTTGGAGCTGGAGTTAGGATTGCTGCTCTGCTTTTGATAGCTTGTGGCATTGGAATGTCTGCGCCGCTTCATTGCATTCGCCGAACGATTCGGCTCCGTCAATTGAGTCGAATTACAGAGCTGCAGTGCAGACATTGTGCTATTTCGGTCCTTGCGCACCAAATGGTGATTGTGCAGCTGCTGATGATGGTGGTGGTGGTGATGATGATGATGGTGGTGCGAGTGAGGCTGCTGGGCACGAAATGTCGCCTGATGCAACGACTGCTGCTCAATGCCCAAGTCTGATTTGGTATAGCTGTCATCCTCCAAGTAAACATCCGAAGAGGAATCTACAAAAGAGAAGCTAGTTACTATTCAATACATACATAAAAAGCTGTAGAGATTATATGGTTCTTGGCCATACCCAATATCGATATGCGTCTAAGCGCCAAGGCCAGCTCCATATCGTCCACATCGACATTTTGTTGCTGCTGCTGCTGCTGTTGTTGCTGCTGCTGCTGCTGCTGCTGCTGTTCGGCAGCATGTTGCTGCTGCTCGAGCTGGAGCTGTTGCAGCTGCTGTTGATGCTGCAGCTTTTGCTGTTGCTTGAGCAGTTGCTTTTGCTGTTGTTGCTGGAAATGTTGCTGCTGATGCTGCAGCAATGTTTGCTGCATCGATTGAAACAATCCGATGCGGCTTTGATGCTTCAGTCGCTCTTCGTGCGTTTCAGAGCTGCGATGTCGCTGCAATCGCAAGGAACGTGTTTGGGGCTGCTGGACAAGCAACACCGATGAGGAAGACGATGCGGAGCAGCCATCGTTGCTAGCTCCAGTTGAAGCTCCAGTTGCAGTGCCAGCTCCACTCCCATTCGCAGTGGCTGCTGTCGCTGAAGCTCCTCCCGCTGGGTTAACCATGAAAAGCTGACGGGAATTATGACCTGGTCTCATTGCTTTCGTGTGCAAGAAGCTGGGTGACGCAGCCGCTGCTGTTGCCGCGGATCTTGTTGTGGCTATCGTATCCGATTGATTTCGCATTAGCTCCGTGTTTAGCATATCATCTAGAGCACTGCTGGCATCCAGGCTCGCCTGTCGCTCTAGCTGACGCCGATGACGGCGACTAAACAGATGGCGTCCCGTGCGACCAGCTCCGGCTACAGCTACTGTTCCAGACCCGGTTCCAGCAGTTCCTCCTGTTGATGTTGCTGTAGTCGATGGTGTTGCTGCTGCTGCAGCCGCTCCGGTTGATCCTCCAGCTGCTGCCGCCTCCTCGTTATCGTCCGAATTAGCAGGCACCACAAGTTCCACAAGCTCGGGATAAACTGTCAGGTATTTGCTATATAAATCATTGGCATAACCAGGATTTGTTGCAGCTGCTGATCTTATGGACTTGCTAACACTAGCGGAGCCCGCAAGCGATTGCTGATCCTGTTGACTACCGCCAGATAGCATTGACGGGGCATAAAACATTAACTCAATGGACTCGGAGCTGTTCTTGCGATGCACATCAACCTTGAGATCTACAATAGTCAAACGGATTTATAAAAGATTCCCTAGAAATATGGTATATAAGCTATGGCGCTTCGCCTACCTATAATGCTATTGGCATTGTCTATGGACATAATGCTATTCTCCTCGCTGGCTTCATTGATTGGCTGTTCCATAGATAAGCGTGATCCGTCCCCGGCTATAGCGCGCATTACTTTCATTTCGATGCCGTTCTCTTCGTCCGGTTCGCGTGTCTCCATCTCCTTGGTGACCTTGAAGAAATGACTCTTCAGGTTCGCCTCGGACATGGTTTGGGCCCGATCGTAGAGGCGATGCAATGCCAAATTTGCCAGCTTCACCAGCAATATGGTGCAGCTGGTTAGTACGCAATACAGACACCAGGTTAGCCATGTGCTCGGAAAATACTGAAACCAAAAGGAAGAGATGAAAGTTCATTTCAGATTCGACTAGATTAACACCATCAGTCAGCGCTCACCAGGTAGGCAACAAAGGGCGAACAAAGCAGATAGAGCCATAAATACAAATGGACAACATTGCAGAATACGCCCTGATGCGGATCATAAAAATAGCCGCCGGTCAGCGAGGCCCACACGCCTTGGCGCAGTATCTCCAAGGTTTGTGAACCCATGGTGGCCTATACTGCATCGCTCTTAAATGCACTCAAAGGATTCTCGCCTTGGCTCTGTTGTTTTATTAACTTAATATTTGTATTTTTAATCTTTTTTTTCACTCGATTATCAATTTGTTATCGCTTAATTTGCAGGTTTTGGGGTGGGGTGTTTGGAGAGGAGCTTAAAGCTCAAAAGCGGAGTTGAAATTTGAGTGGGAATGCTTGCTTACAATAAGAAAGACTGAGAGAGAGGATAAGGTAGGGAGGTAGGCAGGGAGAGGGGAAGAGGCAATGAAAGGGAAGTGTTGGAAGAGGAGCGCGCAAAAGTGTAGGCGTGTTTGTGTGACTGTGGGTGCGTGTATGTGTGAATTGGCACAAACGGGAGGCTGGAATTCGGGCAAAAAAAAACAATAAAAATAACAATGCAGCCACTTGCAAATCGAAGACTATTGTCCATTTGTTGCACTTGCGCTGCAATAGGATTTGATTTCACATCGATTTAATTGTTGTTGCTGCTGCTGCTGTTGCTGTCTTCGTGGTTGCAGTTGGAACGTGTTGATTTTCTTTTTGTAGCTTGCTGCTGTTTTTGTTGTTGTTTTTGTTGTTGCTGCTGCTGTTGCTGTTGTCATTGTTGTTTGTTATCAACACTAAATCAAGAACATCTTGTGCATTCGCTGCTATCTAGCTAATAATTTTATTGCAAACTCTTTTCTTTATTTGTGTGGCTTTTTATTCTGCTTTTCTCTTTTCTTTTTGGGTTTTTTCTTCTTTTTTTTGCAAAGTAACACTCACTCCCTATGCTCCCTCGTTTCATATGCTTTTCTTTTATTTTTGCCTTGTCTTCGCTGCGGTGTGTGTGCCGTCGCTATGTTAAACTTATCGAAAAACGTCTTATCGCGGCAGTGCTGTAGAGTGCTGCAAGCACATCGATTGCTTAGCGCGCATTCAAGTGTATGCAAATCAAATAGCGCTAGACAAATTTACTTTTATTAAAGCCATTTAAGATATGTAATTGGATGTACTACTATATGAAAATATAGAAACAAGAGTGGGAAAGACACAGATCTTCAATTTCATAAGATTGCTTATTTTTAGTTACGTTTCAGCTGTTGGGTTTTTGTTTTGGTTTAGTTATGCATCAGCTGATTTGTTACAGCGCCAGTGCTGTGAACAGAGGCAATTACCTTGACTTTGGCGCGCATTCAAACTCATGCTAGCTAAATATCAGAAGTAAAGATGCTTTTCTCAACCAGTTTATTTATTCAATAACCCGTGCCTAAGTTATTCATCTATATTACATATATAAAAAAAAAAAAATGTTTAAAAAAAATTGTGTATACATAAGTCTAAATAATACATCACATAAAATTAACCACATGTTTTTTTTTGAGTTAATTTTTTTTTGTTTCTAGTTTTAATTGTTAGCTTTACATCAGCGTTCCTCGCTACTGTTGATGTTGCTGATGCTGCTACTGCTGCTGGCATCTGAATCACTGCTGCCGAGGAAACCATCTTTGTGCTCATAATTATGATGATGATGTATGTGCTCCTCTTCCTCCTCTATGGATGGTGCCTGTTCAATGGGATGATGGTGCTCGTGATGCTCATGATGGTCGTGGGCATGGTCATGCTTCTCATGGTGATGTATATGCTCTTTAGTCTGATGAATTTGAATTGGACGATGCTCTTCATGTATAATCTTCTTCTCCTCCTTTAGTACGAGTGGCTTATGGTGATGATGGACATGCTTAATGATCGTATGGACATGTTTTTCGATCTTCTTGTGAATGGGCACATGTATAACAATTTTCTTCTTTTTCTGCTGACTCCTAATTGACATAGATAGATACATGATTAAGATCGTTTCTCATAGCTATATGCCTATATAGAGATTATACCCCGCATTTGTTGCCTGCACACAAATAAAGAGAAGCACTAGAAGCGCCAAAAACGAGAACTTCAGCAGCTGCAAGGACATACGGAATTTAAATCGGTAACGTACATACATATATTTATGTTTATCATATATCTTACCGCATGTCGATTATCCATTATGCTTAGAGTTTGGGTGAAGATAAAAAAAAAAGTTTTAGAGCTGCGATGCGCTCGCTCGAGTTGCTCAAATTCGAATGATTGCTGGCCAAGTGCTGCTAAATTATTTTATAACACGATTTCGGAATGCGGAGTTGAGTCTTGGATTTTCGCTTCCGTGAAATTTCTGTATGTATATGTACAATTTATATTTCTATACGTATTTATGATACGAATTGTGGGTGGATTTTCTGTTGATACTCTAAGCTCACAGAAAATGGGTAAGCATAGGTATATTATTTTTATTGAAAGGTACGTAACAAGGCAGTTAAGTGCCGAGTCGCTTTAGCTTTTTCGCTCCCATTAAATATAAGTATATCAGAGTAAGAAATTTGAAATTCGAAGTACTCAGTCTAAATTTCTTATCATCGATAACTTTGGCGGTTGTATAAGAACTAGAACTAGCTAGCAAGTTTTCTAGCTGGAGATGTGAAATTTGATACATAAACGTAAAATGGTAACAGGGTTAGATTCATATAAAGTATATACAAATAATGGATCTTTCATACAATGCTTAATAGCTGTTTAGCGGGGTATATTCTATTCGGATACGCCCTATTTTTCTCTAAAATATGAATATGAGACAATTGCAAGCCAAAAGCTCTGCGTTGCTATAATTTACTTATTATAGCGCATTCAACAATTCATCTGGATGCATGTCTATTATTTTCTTTCTGCATTTTGCTTTCGTTACATATTCGTTGAATTCACAACTTTTGCATTGTTTAGTTTCCCTGTAGCTTTGGCTTATTGTTATACGAAAACTTCTTTGCGTTTCTCTTCCACATAGACGGAAGACATCGACAACAAAAGTCAGTCAACGGAAATATGTTGGAAATTGTGCAAGGCATCCAGTTAAATACGATGCATGATAAATAAATAAATAAATAATTAAATAAATAAACAAACAATATACATACATATGTATAATGTATACAAGTATTTATGTGTATATTAGACTACGTAAGCATATTTGTGATTGTGGTATTACATTTATTATGTGCTTGCAAGTAAACCATTTAAAATTGCATGTCTTACGCAATGACATGAAAATGTGTTCAATTAAAAATTAGTTTTTCCTTTTTTTATGCATTCTTCATGCATGGATATTTTCTCTTTTCTTATATGGAGTTGAGTGCATATAATTTGAATATTATAATCGATATACATATTGCCATCGATGTGCCGCTAAGCAACACTGCCCAGTCGTATAATTTTATTTTCCATATGCAGTTAAGTGCATTTCATTTTAATAATAATCGATATTTATTTGTTTAGCGATATATTCACTTAGCAGCACTGGTTGCGCACATTAACTATCGAGCATATCCACTCGCAGACACTGCAGGCACTCACACAGACACGCACACCCACATAAGAAGCAGAGCAGCAGCAAGAGGGCAGAAGAAAAAAACGCAAACAAAATTCTTTGAAAAGCTCATTTTAAGGTAAATACAGTCACCTTAATAATTACATGTTCTTTACAAATATGTTTAAATCGTGTAGAAAATCGGTAAATTCAAGTTGTGCTTGATTGCGGGTTATTTAATTGGTAAATTTGCATCAATAAAAGTGTGAGACGTGGTTCAAGCCGTCATATGAGTAAACGCTTGCCGTATATATGTACATATGAAAATATGAGTGTGTGTATGTGGGTGCTTCTTATGGGGCTGATACGCCCCTTCATAGGAAGTTGCCCTAGCATTCTAATCAATATTGAAGATATTTTCAGACAAATATAAATATCATAACTTAATTTGTGCATGTGTAATTCCAATAGTAGTATTTTAATGTGACAAAAGTATAAATACAAGCAAGTGAGGCTTTCTATGCGGTTTTGAGCTTGCTAGACTTAATTAGAAGATATTACAGTTGAGTGACTAAATGTGACAGTGCAGCCTCAAGTATTGTGTACAAACGTGATCTTTACATTTAAAATACCCTTTCCATAATTTCTAATGCAAAATTATTTCCACTCGTTCCAGCAGCAAGTTCCCAAGCATAAGAGAGCGAGAGCTAGTGAGAGAGAGAGAACTGCACGATGACCGATTCAAAGTATTTTACGACCACCAAAAAGGGCGAAATCTTCGAGCTCAAATCGGAGCTGAACAATGACAAAAAGGAGAAGAAGAAGGAGGCCGTCAAGAAGGTGATAGCCAGCATGACCGTTGGCAAGGATGTCTCTGCCCTGTTTCCGGACGTTGTAAATTGCATGCAAACGGATAATCTTGAGCTGAAGAAACTCGTTTATTTGTATTTGATGAACTATGCCAAATCGCAACCAGATATGGCGATAATGGCAGTGAATACATTTGTCAAGGATTGTGAGGACTCGAATCCCTTGATTCGTGCGCTGGCCGTAAGAACTATGGGTTGCATACGCGTGGATAAGATCACGGAATATCTATGCGAACCATTGCGCAAGTGCCTGAAGGACGAGGATCCCTATGTACGTAAAACAGCAGCCGTTTGTGTTGCCAAACTGTATGACATCTCGGCAACAATGGTGGAGGATCAGGGCTTTCTGGATCAGTTGAAGGATCTGTTGTCCGACTCGAATCCCATGGTGGTGGCCAATGCAGTGGCAGCGCTAAGCGAAATCAACGAGGCCAGTCAGTCGGGCCAACCGCTCGTCGAGATGAATTCGGTGACAATTAATAAACTATTGACGGCACTCAATGAGTGCACCGAATGGGGACAGGTCTTCATCTTGGACTCGCTGGCCAACTATAGTCCCAAGGATGAGCGAGAGGCGCAATCGATCTGCGAGAGAATTACACCACGCTTGGCCCATGCCAATGCCGCTGTTGTGCTCAGCGCTGTCAAGGTGCTCATGAAACTGCTGGAGATGCTGTCGAGTGATAGCGATTTCTGCGCCACGCTGACCAAGAAATTGGCTCCACCTCTGGTTACGCTGCTCTCCTCAGAGCCGGAGGTGCAATATGTTGCACTGCGCAACATCAATTTGATCGTGCAGAAGCGTCCGGACATCCTTAAGCATGAGATGAAGGTGTTCTTCGTGAAGTATAACGATCCCATCTATGTGAAGCTGGAGAAACTGGATATTATGATACGTTTGGCCAATCAGAGCAACATCGCCCAGGTCCTGAGTGAGCTGAAGGAGTATGCCACCGAGGTGGATGTGGACTTTGTACGCAAAGCTGTGCGTGCGATAGGACGTTGCGCCATCAAGGTGGAACCATCCGCCGAGCGTTGTGTATCCACTCTGCTGGACCTCATTCAGACCAAGGTCAACTATGTTGTTCAGGAGGCCATTGTCGTTATCAAGGACATCTTCCGCAAGTATCCCAATAAGTATGAGAGTATCATTAGTACACTGTGCGAGAATCTGGATACTTTGGATGAGCCAGAGGCGCGCGCCTCGATGGTCTGGATTATTGGCGAATATGCCGAGCGCATTGACAATGCGGACGAGCTGCTCGATAGCTTCCTGGAGGGTTTCCAGGATGAGAATGCTCAGGTGCAGCTGCAATTGCTAACAGCTGTAGTGAAACTGTTTCTCAAACGCCCATCGGACACCCAGGAGCTGGTGCAGCATGTCCTCTCGCTTGCCACCCAGGATTCCGATAACCCAGATTTGCGTGATCGCGGCTTTATCTACTGGCGTCTGCTCTCCACCGATCCGGCTGCCGCTAAGGAGGTGGTGCTCGCCGACAAGCCGCTCATCTCGGAGGAAACGGATCTGCTCGAGCCGACGCTGCTCGACGAGCTCATCTGTCACATTAGCTCGCTGGCCAGTGTCTATCACAAGCCACCAACAGCATTTGTGGAAGGTCGCGGCGCTGGCGTACGCAAATCTCTGCCAAACCGTGCCGCGGGCTCTGGCAATGCGAATGCTGACCAGTCGGGCGAACCTGGCCAAGGATCCGAGTCTATGGTCATACCTAATCAAGAATCGCTCATTGGTGATCTGCTCTCCATGGATATCAATGCGCCTGCCATGCCCGCAGCACCGGCCTCGACAACCAGCAATGTGGATCTGCTCGGTGGTGGACTGGACATACTACTGGGTGGTCCGCCGGCACCTGTAGACTCAGTTGCTCCAGCTGGCGGTGCCAGCAGCCTGCTGGGTGACATCTTCGGCCTGGCTGGCACCTCACTGTCGGTGGGCGTGCAGATACCCAAGGTCACCTGGCTGCCAGCCGAAAAGGGCAAAGGCCTAGAGATCCAGGGCACCTTCTCGCGACGCAATGGCGAAATCTACATGGACATGACCCTCACCAACAAAGCAATGCAGCCGATGACGAACTTTGCCATTCAGCTGAACAAGAACAGCTTTGGCTTGGTGCCCGCCTCGCCCCTGCAGGCACCACCCCTGCCACCCAATCAGTCCACGGAAGTCAGCTTGGCGTTGGCCACCAGCGGACCGATTCAGCGCATGGAACCATTGAACAACCTTCAGGTGGCCGTTAAAAACAACATCGATATCTTCTATTTCGCCTGCTTGGTGCACGGCAACGTGCTGTTCGCCGAGGACGGGCAGCTGGATAAGCGTGTGTTCCTGAACACGTGGAAGGAGATACCCGCTGCCAATGAGCTGCAATACAGCCTGAGCGGTGTCATTGGCACCACCGATGGCATCGCCTCCAAGATGACCACCAACAACATCTTCACCATTGCCAAGCGTAATGTCGAGGGTCAGGATATGCTCTATCAATCCTTGAAGCTGACGAACAACATTTGGGTCCTGCTCGAGCTGAAACTTCAGCCGGGCAATCCGGACGCAACGCTCAGTCTCAAATCTCGCTCCGTGGAGGTGGCCAACATTATCTTCGCTGCCTACGAGGCCATTATACGGTCACCCTAAACAAATCGAACACCAACAACATTTATGAAATTACAAATAATCTATTAGTGTTATATGTCTCGATATATAACTGAAATATCTAAATATTACGCGTTGATAAAAACAAACTTTGTTAGAATGTCGAATGAAGGAGAAGAGAGTAAAACCTCAAGCTTTGGCTTATTGAGGCGTATTATTATTATATTATATTATCCTATTATCTAATACAATTACATATATATAAACGACTCTATATTGAACTCGACTCGATCCAATCGAAGTTGGAAGGCATTCCATTTGTAGTGGGGCTTCAACGTATCATTCAATAATTTGGTACCCCAAGCAAGTTAAAATATATGTTTACCTATACACACACATTATCAACTCTACGTGCAGATACCCTGTATTTGTGTTTTCTATTTCACGTTACGAATATATAAGAAATATATGTACCTTAGTTGTAAAACTTGAAAATCTGGTTTAGTCTTCTGTGGACTTTCAAATGGGCCAAATTTGAGGCAACTTCCCCTCAGTGTACCCGTGCTTCAGTTTTCAGATTTACAGGGTATAGATATATGATTATTCATGTATTCAGTTTGCTTCTTGTTTACAGGGTATTCCGCATAAAAATAGACTTAGTCTGTGCTAGTCTTACTCTATGGTTTTATTATAGCTATGAATATTACAGGGTATTTTATCCATATTCACTTCACACAATGTTTCCCTCAATATGTGATTTCTCTATATTACCGGGTCACATATATCACGTCGCACATTCCCTTTATAGATTCACATATTTACAGGGTATAATCGATTAGCCACCCACGCGCACATGCACCTGTGCTTACATTAACCTGCAAAAGCTGTTCCCCCCCAGCAGAAAAGCTCAAACAGGCTTCGGCTCTAAGGGCTTTTAAGCTCCTGCTTAAGGGTTGCTGCCCACAGCTATAGCTATCTCCCTCCCTCTTAGTGCGTCTCGCCGTATGTAAAGGCGTTTGCATTGTCCTGTTGTCCCTGTTCAGCGCGAATTGCCCTGCGTTGTTGTACCACAAGTAAATTTATCTTGGCCCCGATAGAAAGGACGAAATTCCTGCTGCCAAATAAGTGATACACAATAGATGGAAAATAAGGGAAAATATATCAAAATAGCTTCAGTAGAAAATAAATAGTTTAGTTAACGAAAAAGTTCATAGAATTAGTTGCAGAAAAGTGCATTTAAAGTCTTCCGAAAACCGTGCCCGAGCGACTTTTTGTTTTGGGCCCAAACCAAACATGTGGCGCAGCCCGATTCCTGGCTCTGCATACATATAGGGCCATCGCCTTTTGGGGCAGACATTTTGGACAATGAGTGAGACGGCGGGCAATGGCAGTGGAGTCGGTGCAGCTGCTCCAGCTGCTGCGGCTCTCCACTCCTTGGACAGCTACGATGTGATCTACGATGCTGGACAGGAGCATTCAGATGATATGCAAAGCGTTTCACATATGGATTGGCCATTTTTGATAAAGGTATTTCATATCTGTAGATGTATGTGCATGTGTGTGCATGTGTGTTTGTGTGTGTGTGAGTGTGTCAACAACAACAGCTTTTTGGGGCTAACTGACTCATCCAGGCAGGCAGCTAGGCTGCCAAGTGGACAAGGAACTGTGTCAGTGCCTGCACTCGTCCTTGATCGAATTACACAGTGCACACAACCCAGGGCAGCAGGCGGTGCGTGGCAAGGGGCGTGGCTTGAGGGTTGTCTGCGTGCATGCCAAATGAGATGCTTGACATGTTTACAGCTTCACTGCAGAGAAGCAGAGAGCGAAAGCAGAAGGACGAAGAAGATGAAAACAAATATGTTGCGTTACGCTAAGCGACTAACGGTACTATATATGGGATTTGTTAAAATGACTGAAGATAATATATATACCTAACGGCTGCCTGTAAATGCTGTAAATTGAACACATATTTACAATAAAGATGTTTACAGAGTGAAGGTGGCTTATAAAAATATACAAAAGTGAGGTTAGCTTGCAGAAATATAACTAATGTGAGGTTAATTCGAGCAAATTTACTATGTAAATAAAGTAATATTCTTAATAAAGAGATTTTGTTTCGAGTAATCCTTAAATATGTTCAGAGAAGTCAGAAAATAGGTACATATCTATTATTATAAAAATATACAAAAGTGAGGTTAGCTTGTAGAAATATAAATAATGTGAGGTTAATTCGAGCAGCTTTACTATATAAATATAATAAAATTCTTAACAAAGAGATTTTGTATCTAGTAATCCTTAAATATGAGAGAAATTTTTACATATATAAATCTTACGAAAAGCGGTCATTGTTTGTGCCATATATACCATTTCAAGGAATTCCAGGTTATTACACATATATCAAATTATTATATGCAAAATCAAGAATAGTTAAGCACATAGATATATTATAATAATGAGGTTATGTAAAAGTTCAGCTACGTAAATAATATAAAAGAAACCTGATCTTCGGACAGCTAGATAAATATCAAGTTTCGACTTAAATTATGAGGAAATTATACCAAAATCAAACACTTTAGTTTTGATAGAGCTATGATAGTCTAAAGTAGAGAGCTTCTAAGGACTCTAGCATAAATTCTGGAAATTTAAGCTGAATGAAAAGAATGAAGAGTCAACTAAGTAAAGATATCAGAAGGATTATCTTGATTGATCTGTTCTTTCTCCACCTGCAGGGCATCCTGGAGAACAGCCAGACATGTGCGCCGACCACACCGGAGACTCTGGCCGCTCTGCTGTGGGCCATCATTGCCGTGTTTGGCATCGTCTACGCCCTGCTCGGCTATCGCTGTCTGCGCGCTGTTGGCTTCCTGAGCGGGCTGATGGTGGGCGCCAACGGGATATTCATACTGCAGGACTTCCAGATCACCTGGCTGGGCAAGCCGGCTGACTCGGCGCTGGCCATTGTGGCTGGACTCCTGGGCGCAGTGCTCGGCTCTACGTATCCTGTCGCCTCGGTGCTGATCAGCGCCTTTGCCGGCGCCCTGCTCTCCGGCGCTGCGATGGCCGTCTGTGTGGCCACAATGCCGGACAACGAGTTCGGGGTGAGTCCACCTTCTTATTGTAAAATTAACATCTATCTGTAGAGTTTAGCGAATCACATTCACTGACTTTCTCATTCTCCGTCTCTGTCCAATCCTTTCATATATCTCTCATTATCATACTCTTTCCCTTGCGGATTTTCTATCCCTGCTCCCTTTCTCTCTCTCTCTCTCTCTCTCTCTCTCTCTCTCTCTCCCCCTCTCTCTCTCTCTCTCTCTCTCTCTCTCTCTCTCT